CACATGGTTTTGAGAAGCATTCTTACTTAAGCACCAGCATACAGCCACTGTTTTTCAGTTTGATTACTACAGGCTTATTTTTAACTTCTTAGAGAAAAAGCAACTGCACCCGTGTCAGCTTGTACACAGTAAACTCCCGTCCCTGGGTGGGCTTGAACCACCAACCTTTCGGTTAACAGCCAAACGCGCTAACCGATTGCGCCACAGAGATAGCGCTTGCAGAAAGTGCTCAGCTCTGCAGAGTTGCAGGATTTTTGTCTCTCGATATCTCCCCACTTATACAGTTCCCACTTTAACACTGCTTCCGGTAAGAAGTAGAGACAGCTGTGAGGACGATGACCCTCTAAGCATCAGCAGAGTGGCGCAGCGGAAGCGTGCTGGGCCTATAACCCAGAGGTCGATGGATCGAAACCATCCTCTGCTAAAGTGTTTTGTGTAATCTTTGAGATTTAACTTGCAGTCTAATTTCACACCATTTGTTGAGAGAAATTTGCTCTTCTGTGGTTTCTCATTTTCTTTGTTTTCTTACCATTCTTATCTCAGCTTTTCTTGGTTTTGAGTCAAAGGGTGGTCGTTTGCTAGTTTCAAGAGATTTTGCATTTTTCCACTCTTTCAACATGTCTTTGCGATTAAATAGATTTTAGACTGTTTTCATGGAAGTCTTCTTTTGTCCTCTTTTCACGTATTTAATGATTTATTTATTTTTCTTTTCAATCTGCAGTTGGGGTGTGCATGTAAGGGTTTTTTCGCAGGAAAGGTAAAGGTTATTTCACATTTTTTTTACCCTTTTCACTCTTTTCTTTTTGGTCTGTGTATGCTTTGCCCATTTCATGTTAGGAATGAATCATTCTAGAGTGGGGTTGAAACACTAAACTTTTCGTGCCTGTCACTTGATCATAAGATTGATGCTGTCATGTTTTAAAGTTAATTGCTTGTATCTGGACTCTAAGCTTAAAGTAAAATTGCATTGTCTCATCATTTCACATGTTTGCTTGAATGGTCAAATTTCAAAACATTTTCATTGAAAAAAAAACACAAATCGTGCTGCCTTCCACTGCTTTTAACATGTTTGTCCAATATTGCTCTGGGTTCCATGTTTTTTGTTGTTTTTTTGTGGGAAAAATATGGAATTTTGTGCTTTTGGCTTCTTGGCTAACGCGTGCTTGGCCCCTCCCATATTGAAAATGCACGG